TATGTAATTTTGGGGGAGTTTGATCATTATGTGATTAATGATCAAGATGTGCATGGTACAAGTTAATTACAATATCGTGGAGCACAACGATATCATGTATTTTATTAGATAAGAGTGTTTGATAAAATGATTGAGTTAGTCAAGATGGATGGTAGACTCTGGTGATTGAGCTAGTCAATCTTGACGTTAAACTCATATGATTGAGCTAGTCAAGATTGATCTTAGACTCAGATATTTGAGCTAGACCATCTTGACGGTAAATTCTAATGATTGAGCTAGTCAAGATAGACTGTAAATTTAATCCAGTTGATGCGTTGGTCAAAGTTATTTCTATAGAAAGTTGCAGGCGACATTGTGCTATCATGCAGGTTGTGCATGAGAAGCGCAGGTAAAGTTTGCTAAATTAGTATCTTCAGTTATCTCTTTATATATTTATTTTATCATGTGATGGCTACGGCTTAGTTCTAGTTAACTCTCGTGTAAAGAGGGGCCTTATATTAGGTTTCTTTTTCTTTTCCTGCTGAGTAATTATGTAGCTTATGAGATTTATGTTAGCTATTTTTTAATTACCTCTTTATGTTATTACTTTATCCTGTAAGGGCTACGGCTTAGTTCTAATTAACTCTTGTGTAGAGAGGAGGCCTTATATTGGGTTTCTATTTAGATTTTACAACGGAGTAATAATGTATGTTATAGAAGAAACTGTTCCTTAACTCAAGTTAAGGGGGAGATTGTTGAAATTACTTCCAATTAAGGAGCAACCTTAGGTACTAGCTATTTTTAGCTAGGACGGTCGTTTGGACTGGGGGATAAATACCTCAGAGCTCACATTGTATAGGGAATCTTTCTGACAAGATTTGAAGTTGAACGTGCTGAACGTTCTGGCTGGACGTAGCACTCTGGATGAGGGTGAACCATGTTATTTTTGTGTTCGTGTAATTTTTGAGTTTTACGGTCAAATCAGAGACAAAAAATCCGGCAGTCGACTTTGACTCTAAAAGCACAACTTTGTCACACATACTCCAAATCTGAAACCAGCTCTGAAATCAATTTGTTAATGTAAATCAAGAAACTCAGTGAAACATTCAAACCAAACATGAATACAAGAAAAACTTCGTATAATGTGGTTCACCCTAAAAGACTACCGGCACAGCTGAAACATGCGAGAGAGTTTAATAGTGCGAAGTAAAATCCTTGGGGTATATATGTACCAACACCATAACAAACTTAGCTATAGATAGTTAGAACTTGAAATTATTCCATAACAATAATTTATCTCAACATTAAAATGTTTGGACTAGATCTTGATTCATATTCAATCAATAAATTGAGAAATTGAGAATCATCAATAAATTATAACTCATCGACATTGATCAAGAAAATTAGAACATTCTCTAAGACACTTTTGAATATTTGTCTATTGCAAAAACTGCAGGTTTTCAAACATTAATAGCTGACTATAAATCACACCTAACTTCATCATGCCTTTCACATTCATCCATGAAAGTAATTATTGCTTGTGATGAAACACATAGCTCCAGGTATAACTCATATCCAGGTTAAAAGCTGATGATAATGCTTGTGGATGTTGGATTTTGCCCAAATTTTCGATATAAGGTAAATATACATCAATTTTATTTCACATCAATATGGATATTAAACAACAATATTCGTTGTTGTTGAAAAATAGACTTTTCGACTTTCTGTTGTCCCTGTCCCCACTAAGTAGAAAACAGAACCCGAGAATAAAAGAAAAAAACCAAAGACTGAAGACCAATGCTAAAACACGGTAATATATCATCGGAGTTCGATCATGGTAAATTCCACATGGAGATATAATTTAGAAATTACATTTAAAGTCCATGTGGGGAAAAAATGCCAATTTCTTTCCGGAGACAAGATCTGAGCCGCAGGTGACGAATCGATCGGTGATGCGATTGTTACGTTCCTCGATCGTCACCAGCCTCAGACCACATCGGAAACCGAAATCGTGGGTCCCACACGAACGGGACGTCGGTAGTTTCAGGACGCCTTCCACGCGGGCGGTGCCGACTGTAGTCTAATCATACCGACGGCCACGATGGAACGAGGAGGCCGGCGGTAAAAGAATGGCAAGGATAAGGCCCGCTCTTCGTTGTTTCCAGTCACCAGGTCGCACCGTACTGGGAATCCCAGTGGACATCCCAGTGGCGAGATGCCGTCCTCGTCATATAACGTTTCGTAGATCTGCGGACCCGCGAGGTGCTAAAAATGGACATTGCTGCATTTACAAAGCAGATTATTCGCACACTGTCAGACTGGAAGTCAACATGGCCGTCAGAACGGGAGGATAAGACAAACGAGCGCCCGGATAAAGCTGTGGAACGAGCCCCGGAAGTGGGAGCGGTGAAGGTCCTCCGGATCAGAGTTTTACTGCAGTGGTAAACGGTGGGGCTGACAGGTCGACTGACAGTCTGACAAGGACACTGGACCACCCCTTGCAGTGTCGTGACAGATATTGTCGCGATCACCATAAATTCTCTCGATGATAAATTTCTGCAAGCGTCGTGAGTCTGGATAAGGAAATGTTTCCGCACATTTGGCGGTTTGATCATTACTACCGGTAGATTGGAAATGACTGCTTCTTCGCAAGTTGCTTTCTTCATCAAATCGTCGGCTGCCATGTGAACGGAGAGAGATTCAGAGCGGATTCGCCAAGATTCATTCTCCATCTCGTTCTGCAGTATGTTTTATCCATCGGATTCATATGCTTCGTCGAGATTCTGAATTTGAAAAAGCTTGCACGTCAATGGAGCCATAAAAGCTGGCTCTGAGCACATCTGGATCGATTGTCCCTGAAGCCCAACTTGTTTGAGTCTGCGTAGTGGTCTGATTGAAATCGATGCCAGGCTGATTGCATGAGCGCCGGGAGCGCCATTACTTTGTGTTCACTTCGCCTGAGCAGGAAAGGCAATGGAGTACGATGCTGATTTGTCCAGATTACCTTTTGGGCGAGTTGAAAGACATCCACATCATGAGGTCCTTTCCATGCTATTTGGGCTTTTGGATTGATGATGATATAATTATGTACCCTCTGAAACGTTGGCAGGTGTACACTAGAGATTTCCACACGATTTGATGTTTATCTACAAAATGATGGGATCTTTTTCAGAAATATTTCCTATCGAGTAAGGGATTCTGTCAGCCACAAATGACGATGCAGTACGTGGTCATCTCACCCAGATCATACATAGCTTGCCAAGCAATTTGAGTGATGAAGGACCGGATTCCCTCTGGTGGAAGTTTTCCTCATCTCTTGAGGAGACTCCACTTTTCAAAAATGGGCGAAACTGGGCATCTTTGTTTACATGGAAAACAAAGATGACCAGAAATGAGAGAGTGTGTGTGAATGTGGGTGGACACTCACAAATCCAAGGCTGCAACTGAGTGTACAATTATTTTAGTCTTGCATGCATGCATGCAAGACTAAAATATTTGAAGTTTGTGGTCAATGAATGCTACCCTTAAAGGATAAAGCCTCAGATCTTTGTAAAACAAGAACACGAAAGACGCTCATTTAATGCCTGGAAAACTATTTTATTCTTCGAGGAAAGATGAATCAAAGTATCACTCTATATGACAGAGTGATTCTTTGATACACTCATTCGTCCTCACCTTTGATTATAGAAATTACAAATTTTGAAGAGCAGGTGGCCTATTCCATTAGGTAACTGCTGAAACGTAAAACAGAAATATTAGATTTCTTGTCAATATTGGACTTGGCATTATCGTCGAGACATGACCTTCAGAAGCCTTAGAGTCCAATGGTTGAAAAAGCGAGGATGAGAGAATATTAAACCTGCAGAATAATCATTCACAACACGAAATAAGCTTACAGATCTTTGAGTGCTTAATAATCCTCTCGCTGTCTTCAACGAATCTGCTCTCAACTGCTACTGAAAGTCAAATCTCCAGGAGCTCCAGTCTATTGAACAAAATTACTGTTTGCATTAACTTGTGTCCTTTTGTTGGGAATATTTACCTTGAGCTCCAATCTGACTTTTCAAAGTTAAGCTGCTACTGCGTCTCAATACTTTGATTTATATCTTGTAGAATTTTCTGTTACGAGTGTTTAAGGCGATAGATTTGGCGGTAACTTATTAATCTACAAATAAAGTACGATAACCTATTAAATCTACATACACAAGAACTTGGGTTACTCAACATTCGGGAAGCCTCCATAGATTTATCCCATGGTCTCGGAATAGTCTATTAAGAAATAAATTGGTAAAAATAATCACGAAGTGTGTATTGTATGATGTACGGAGGGAGACATGTTGAACCTTGGGATTGCAATAGACCGACACATTATACACGAGCATTACATGCAAGGGAGTAAACGAAGATAGGATCGTTATTCATGCATCTCAAGATTGATTCTCTACATTTTGGTTTCGCCTGGCACAGAGGCATGCCTGTCTTCCTTGATGTTGGCCGCTTTCGATTATTTAAAGTCTCAAGAGTCGTAGTAGCCGAGATGAAAGAGAAAAATCTTCGGCCATGCGGTGAGAGTATAGAGAAATGTTTTCCTCGCATCATCCACAACTTTCGAGAATTCTTTAATTTCTCTCCTCTCCTTTGGTTAAGGATTCGTCCGGCCTTGTACCTCTGATGGGATTCTCCCGTCGTTTCTGCACGTACTCTTAAAAGTTCTAAAAATCGGGAGTTGGAATGCCACAAAGTTACGTCATAGGAGTGCTAGATAATTTTAACTTAAATTTCGAAATCGAGAGAAGCATGGATAAGAACTTTTGACTCGGACAGAAAACCGCAATTCGAATCGCCTTTGGTCCATGTACATGTTCTTCTTCCGAACCGGTCCTTGTCACCTCAGAAGGAATGCAATCTAAATTTAATATAAAGATAAAGCATTCATTTGATATGTTCGGGGTGCCAAATCACACGATTTGTGTTGTAAAAAGTAGTAGGACCATTGGATTGCTCTCGTCCAATGCCAGAGTCCGCTTTCCAGTCCACTGGGAGACCTCTAGTTGCTCAAGCACGGATACAATCAGGCTTAGTAGAATTCCGTTGCCAGAGGAGAACCAGGCGCTCATTCGATCTGCATAAGATCTCGTGCTCGAGCCGTAAGCTTGCCACCGTCCTGCCTGTCCTTGTTGTCTTCGGAAGCCAATCCTCATATAAACACGGTCGGCAAAATTGAGCGGCTCAACTCAGTCTGACGGCACTGAACAACCAGGGCAGCCTCGATCACCTCCTCAATTGCCGGTTAGGCATCGCTAAGAACGGCTTCAATTGCGTCACGAGGAAAGCGGAGTTGTGTATGATCAGGCTGAATTCGCTGATCCGAGATTTCTGGCCCTGCTCAATCGAGGTGAGATTGGTGCTCGGTGAGTGACGGCGGTGGCTCGTCGTCGGTTGGCGAGTCCCAACCTGGTTGCTATTCACTCGGTCAATTTGCCTGATATCATGGCTGCTCTACAAGTATGTGTATCTGCAGTGAAGCAGTCCGTGGCCTCTCCGTTGATGCGTTCCAACAGCAAGGTGCCGTGTACTGCCAGAACACTATCTGTCCTTCCTGTCTTACCTCGAGTAGCTCGGAAGAGGTGTGGAGTCGCACGAGCGGCTGGTACTGCAGATGAGAACATCTGCCCAGACTCGCTACCAGGTGATCATCAGATGCTGTTTGATTGTTCTTCTTGTCAATTCACAAGACGATACCTCTTCGGAAAGCTTCTCGGTTAAACAATGCGAATGATTTGCTGCCAAAACTGGCCCCAACAAAACAGAATCAACAGTGAATGATTGCCTTTCATTAGCCTACAGAGGAATACACGTTTTGCACCTTTTCCTGCTTTCTGACGGTAAATTGATTGTGCTTTTCACCAGTTCATACGTATTAGCATACCGGTTTTGCCCGTCTTCTTGTATGAATACCGCAATTTGCTCTAACCTGACTCCAAATTTCCAGCTGGGCACCCTTGACCGTCCTTTTGATTTGCTCTAATGTCCATCAACTTTTCTGTCGTCGAAATTCTCCGAGATACGTGGAGATATTGAAAACTAGAGACTTTGGTCATCTTTCTCCTGAATCATGGTCGCATGTAATAGATGAAATCTCTCTCATGAGTCTTTCTCATCACTTCACTACCCTGTTTAGAAAGACTTGCTTCGATTATGGGAAATTCGAATGCTTCAGAGTTTGAATGAAATTCGCTTGAACAGAGAGAGGGCTGGATGGTCCTGCAGTCGAAAAGGGCAGATGTTGTTACAGATTATTGAATTGTTCGAGTGGTTCTTTCTTGCAGCCAACTTCAGCTGTGTCGATGCGAACATGGTGACGTTGAGACGGCGGATCGAAGGTGTGCGGGTGAAAGAATCGTTCATGCACACCCCTGAGGAGTGGATGGAATGGGAGAGGTCCTGCTACAACACTTACCGAGCCGACGTGAATGTTCTGGTGGCAACACTGCAGAGTCACTTGCTCAGCATGCGCCCGAGCGTAGTTCTATCCATCATTTCCCTCCTCTTCGCCATCGCTCCCGTGGCGGCTCTTCTCTTCTTCTCTGCTTTGGGTGGGCAGCTCTACTCGATGAACAACGCACTCCTCGACATGCTGTCTTCGACCTCGACAACGTACTAACTCTGCAGTCTCGAACGTAAATCTAGTCATTCATTACCCTCGTGAGTAGTGGAAGGGTTGTCAAGAGTAGAAGAAGATCCGTGACGACACTAGTGAACAAATCTAGGAAGGATGTAAAAAATTTAGTTCTGATCATTCTCTCGCGGACCAAGGTGACATGATACTGGTGATCAGATGTGTACCGATGCGAGCTGGCTACAAATCAATCCGACGACATTAAAACCGTTATTTTCATTCGACCGAAAGGCTTGTATGAGCTTTCTGTCGACCTTCAGCAGGTCATCATTCGGAAGTTCTGACGAGAAAGTGAGACCATCTTGGGCGAAGGATCATATCATAGTATTGGAAAGCAGGTGGTTGCCGTTTAGTAAGAAGGTCCTGTGCAGTTTATCTTCTGAAATGATCACCACTAGTCAGGCGGTTCTGCGAAGCGCTTCGTTGTAAGAAGCACCACCATTGTAAGAATATAACCGTAAATTTTTAAAGCTAAAATTATCCAGAATCAGTCTCTACTTGACCTTATTGTTCTAAACGCAAATTGGATCTTCGAGAATCACTGTGCAATGGGCAAGTGAAAGTGATTACATTTGCATCAAAGAGTGGCTTTCGAATACGTTCTGACTTCGGATGTGCATTCGATGAACAGAACTCTGTTTTGCCAAATGCAGACTGGACAACAAGGGTGGCTAATGGAATTGCCCTCTGTTAATCCCACTCCAAACTGAAGAACAGGAGCCCACGGCAGCAGAAATATCGGGTTCAAGCCTCAGACCTGACAAGCGAGCTAAGATCATGTCGTGGTCAATATAGTGGACTTCGAGAAAGCACTGGACGACGGAAGAAATGTGTCATTTACTACAGAGTCAGTAAACACCTTCAGTTGACGAAACAGTCAGAGTCGTCTTCTCTCCGTCAGAATTGATAATTGGTCTCTACCGTAGTCTCAGGATAACAATCCCGAATACTTGAAATTTTCCCCGTGTCAGATGTACAATTTTTGCCACGAGGTGAAAAATCACTGAAGAGAACAGGAAGTAGGATCATATGTGCATACACGCAGTCTTGCAGCAGTCCTCGATAACGCAGTGGGACCAATTAAACTTATTCCATGCATTTGTTTTGAATGATAGGCCTGACTTTAATCCGAGACATGTAAATCAAATCAATCACGTCTTTCTGCTCTGGCGGAGGACTTTCCGTTACTGATTCCGTACGATTAAAATCGGTGGACTCGACTCTGTTCGAATAAACGGTTGCATATGATACCGTGCGTGAGCGGGTGGCCGCCGCGTCACAACATGTTTGGCCTTCAATATATTTCTCTACCGTGCACCATTGAAGTATTTATTTCAATGTATTATGTGACGTTTTTCTATATCATTAAAAAAAATCAAATCTTTTTATCAAGTTTTCCTATCATGTTAAAATGTGAATTTTAATTATTAATTTGATAACTGACATAAGAATAACATTCATTCATTCAAATTTGAAAACGATATGACTGCATATAACATCCGAGAAAATAAAGAATGAGAGGACTAAAATCTATGACCACAAGTCAAATTTCCAAAATTCAGCATTTTATTGAAGGTATATTCATTCCTATATGATCAATTATTTTTTAATTTCAATGCATTAACCTATTGCATTGGCTTTACACTTTAGCAGCAAAACAATAAAAATTTTTAAAAATGCAAGAAGAATTTAAGCAACTGAAAAGTCCACAAGAAATATTTATTATTCTTTACTAACTATGCATTAAATCAAACACCTTGACAAATTCCATTACTGAATTCAATATTATCAAAATAAGACATCAAATCCTGCAAAATGATCAAATTGATTTAAATTTTATGATATACTTTCATGCAAGAAGTTTGATCAAGAGAAACTAATAATAATAATACAGATCCGACTAAGAAATCTTAATTAGTAACAGTGGTACCTTAGTTCCACAAGGATGTCGATATGATTCATAGATTCATACTTGGAGAAATTGACTTGATGGTACCTGGAAAATGCAACACACTTGATAAGATCCAAGAGGTTACATTTTACGTTATGGAACGCCGATGATCATGCAGTCCGTTGTCAAGAATGATTCAATAAAAGTTCTTATAACTTGATAGACTGCGCTTTAGTGCGGGGAGTGATTGCCACTATTGTGATTTGTTCACAGCCATGTACTAGGATTTATGTTCACATCTGAAAAAGCCACAGACATTTATTCACACTACTATAGCTTTCATTTCACAGTCTACAACAAATTTCAGACCTTCTTTGTGAATCTGGTAGTAGAGATTGCTTTGCTACGATGATAGTATCGTAGAAATGAACGGACCCACGAGAGACGATGATGATGAATTGAGCGGGCTTTATCTAAAATTCGGCGAGCGTAGCGAGTAGGCAAGAGGAAAAAGCACGGTACTCCGACGATAAATTTTTTTCTCAATGATTAGTTTAGGACAATTGCCAATGTGATGGATAATTGCAATTACGACTCATTACAGCATAAAAGTGCACACCGACGAGTTTAAATGTTTGATTTTTCTTCATACGCATAACTTCAAAGGAAGTTGTCCACAATATTTTGCCATGAGGCTAAAATACTCCTGAGATGGTCTTGCCGTGATTGCATCCTAAGAAATGTTGCAAGCTTACTATCCCGAATCATCAAATAATATGTCTTGAAGCATATACTACTTGAACATTGCAGACAATGGATTAAAGGAGCGTCAGGGGTTCCGTTGGGATAAAATGAAACCTGTTGGATCCTATCAAGTGTGTTGTGTTTCCAAGTATACCATCAAGTAATTTCTCGCCATACTTGTGAACATCATCAATAATAAAATTTCCAATTCCAAATCCTTTTCAAAAATCACAATCAACGACAAGATCTTTATATACATACTACTATTGCGGCTCCTTGTTATGATAAGCATTTAGCTCTCACAATGCCAAAACCCATTCAATGATTTAGCAATTTCTTAAAGTAATAGGAGTGAACAACAAATGCGAATGAGACCTTGATTTGAATCTTCTTCATCAATCCTTATGACGAAGATTTTTATGAAATCTGATGCATTTTTTAAAAATTGAAAAATAAGAATGACAATTTTAAACTAATGATAAAATTAAATTTCTAATATTTATTATGTTGAAAAGTTATGTCAAATTTTAAACTTATATATGAATTGGCAATCAATTCTTAATTACTTTATAAGCATAATCCATAAAGGTTTGTCAACAACAAAAAATTCTTTATAAAATAATATCATGTCATCAAATTTGGCTCAATAGGTATTAATTTTCTAGAGTATATAGTTACATAGTGTGATGCTTATATATACATAATGCTTGTAACGTGAAAGATCACTTATCATAGAAGTACAAATCTCTGAAAATATGTTAGTTACTTAAAATGAGATTTCTTTGGCTACACAACTAGTGATCAAATGAAAAAATTTTTTTGTATTGATTATATAAAATGATGGAAATATATAAAAAAAAGTTTAAACAAATATAGTTTGTCTCTTAAAAAAATTATGCATGTTTATCTCATTGATTTCAGTTAGAAAAAAATATAGTAAATAATTTGAAGAGCTAAATTAAAACTCCTAAAAAATTTGATACTTTAAGCACGTTTGAAATAAGCATTCCATTTAGAGTATGAGAAATCGTAATAATTTTTATTCTTATAGGAAGATTATATTTTTTGACTATCTATTCAATATATAAAATTTTAAAAGTAAAGCTGAATAAAAAAATGAATCAAAATATGATATTTTTTTATCTTAGTCAAAATATATTTTTTCAATTCGAAAGCCAAAAAATTATCAAAAACACAATCAGATGTAAATAATCCAATTAGAAATCATTTTAGCTTGATTTACGTACATCTTTAATCAAATTTACATAAGCTAAAATTTGGCTTTATTTTGAAAGGCAATTATTTTTCATGAGCATGTTTCATTTTCTATTTTTTCTGAAAAAAATAGAAATAATGTTCAAACACTGCATATTTTTTCTACTTGAAATACATAAACACATAAATAGAGAACAACTTAAACATTAGATCATGCAATTTATTATTTCAAAAGATCAAGTTTTTTTATGAAATGATTATACCTCATGTCATAAAAAATTGATTATTCTTCAAATCATTTTTTAAGATGATGATTATAAAATATATAGCTAAAATAACAAACTTCAAATATTTGATACATGAGATATAATTTCAATATTTCGCATTTAATTATAAAAACACACAGGTAAATTAACCAATAGAAAACCGATTAATAAATATTTTTATAGAGAATTCAATGATTATCATCATATATTCTAAAAGAATTAGCAATTAATTAGATCAGAATCACTTTTAAAGCTAACGAAGAATTTGTAAAAGATCAAAATTCGCTTTATTATGTAATTCAAATTTTTAATTTTTAATTTATAGTCAAAGTGTTAGCATAACCATTTTATTTTTAATCTTTAGGTAAATGATCGGTCAGATACAGGTGATGAAAAATTGATATCTGTGAATGATATGTTATATTTATGCTTGATTTTCAAAACCTGAATTACAATTAAATTCAAAACAATTTGAAATTCATTTTGAAGCGTGAAAGTGTAGTGTATACTTTGCATCTATTTGACAAGTTTGTTTAACGAATGTTTATTCTTTGTTGCTATTTTTTCAATATATACTTTATTTACGTAAAAAATTGAACTACACAAACCTTTAATGTAAATTTATAATTTTCAAAAATGAATAAATATCAAGTTGTAGATTTTTTCCCGAGTTTATCAGTATTAAAATTTACATAATCCATTAATGATCTGAAATTAGAGAATTTAGCATCAAATGTAGTATCATAATTCATTATATACATGTGATGTATTAAAACACAATTATTGGATTTTTTATCAATATTTTCTGAATATAACATGACTTTATGAGTTTATTTCATAATGAGAGCAATTTTTCAGCCAAGCAGAAGTGGTAAATAAAAGAAATAATTCCTTAAAATTATTATAGCAATAAAATAATTTTTAAAATATATATTATCAAAATTATTATAAATAATAAATTTTGTAAAAAAAAATGCATATTTTTTCAAAATTTCAAAAATAAAATTTACAAGTTTTTTTCTCACACTTTTTCTTACTTAGTCATAATTTATTATTCTTGCAGTATACTTGAAACATTAATTTTTTTGAATTATCCGCAAGATTTTCTCAAAAATCAATTTTATTGTATCAACATCCTTCATTTTCAACTCAAAAATTAAAAAAATTTCGATATTTCAACTCGTGTGTTGATAATGCAAAAGGGTTTTCAATGTTATATTAAAATATTAAGCATATATCACTAATTTTTTTACAAGCCTGTAACTCTATAAAATCATTATAAATTGATTGAATTTTTATAATTTTTTTCCAAATTACTTTGAAATTTTTAAATTCTGAATATTATGAAGATTCTGACTATTTTATGAGA